AAAACCCATTATATCCCGATGACAAGGACGGGCTTCCAAAAATTCAAACCCCCAAATCCTCAAACTTCCCCTTTTACAGCCCAAGTCCCTTGCCAAGTCTGTTCAAGAACTCACCAGCAAATTCAAGTGTGAGCTCAACTCCCTTGCGCATTTTCAAACGCCCATTTCCTCCTCCTTCGCCGGCGAAGCACATTCGGGCATTGCTCGCTCGCCGGCATGGTTCTGTGAAGCCAAACGAGGCCTCCATCCCCGAAGGAGGCGAATGCGAGATTGGGTTGGATAAGAACTTCGGGTTTTCGAAGCAGTTCGCAGCTCATTATGAACTTGGAGAAGAGGTGGGTCGTGGGCACTTTGGGTATACTTGCTCCGCCAAGGGAAAGAAAGGCAGCTTGAAGGGGCAAGATGTGGCCGTCAAAGTCATTCCAAAATCCAAGGTCTTGAGAGCCTTCTAATTTCTACCTTCCCTTCTGTATTTATATTGTTGTGAATTTATGCAGTGGGAATAGTATAAGATAAAACACAGAGATCAAAAATTTGGTTCCTCATCCTAACAATCATTGCATTCATGATTTGCTTCTGTCATGATCTGAAAATACCCTTTGTGGGCACGGTTTTTTCTGGAACATACGTCATCACGTAAGCAAATACACTTCGCGAGGCTTGTATGCTTTTTATTCGATATAGAGAATCAGGTTTAACTTTTACTTTGCTCAAGTGAACTCTGAAATATAGCCTTTCCCCCTTTATCGAAGTACCTTCCATCTTCGAAGGGCCTATTTATATTCTCAAATCGCATGCTTGAGTACAGGAATCATGGTGATCTGTGGTGCCTTTAGGCTATTGATTATTGTTTATTAAGACCATTGGAGTACTATTTTGTTCTGACGTTGGATGATAAATTGCCAGATGACAACAGCCATTGCTATAGAGGATGTACGGAGAGAAGTCAGGATATTGCGGGTTCTTGCAGGACACGAGAACCTAGTGCAGTTCTATGAAGCCTATGAAGACGATGAAAATGTTTATATAGTTATGGAGTAAGTTGAAGTTTCTAATTGTTATTCTTATACATACATACATAAATATATATATTTAAAATTCCCGTTGTTAATCTGTCATGGATCTCCATTACAACTTTCGGAGTTATTGATTAACTTATGCAACTCAGGTTGTGCAAAGGAGGTGAGCTGCTAGATAGGATTCTTTCCAGGTGAGATGTTCTCCTGTTTCCATTTTTTCAAACTAAAAAAGAGAGAAAGAAAAGTAGAGGAGGACATTCTAGTTTCATTTTGGTACCATTGCTATAATTAATGACATTCTAATCAGCACAAAGTCAATTGTAACTTATAGGGGCGGGAAGTACTCGGAAGAGGATGCCAAGGTTGTCATGATTCAGATTTTAAGTGTGGTGGCCTTCTGTCATCTGCAGGGCGTGATTCATCGTGATCTCAAGCCAGAGGTGATTAACTCATGAAGCTTGTTACTCTGTTAAAATTACATTTTTGGTGCAAACACTCTGCTAGACAATATTAACTGTGTTTCTTTTTTTGGACCTAGGGCTTCCTTAGATCATTAATGACAGGTTTTATTATATCCGTGCTTGTTCATTGATTATCTATTATTTAAAAAAGGAAAATTCTAGTTTAGAACCCTAAATTGTGAATATTTATACTTAAAAATAAATTTTAAAATTATTCTAGAAGGCATTAAGGGAAAAAAAAATTAAACTGCAATGAAAAATTACAGTAAAAGATTCCAAGTTAAATTTTTGTGGTACTCTACTGGTTTCCTAACATAGATGATCGTTTTCCTGCTTCAGAATTTTCTTTTTACTTCTAAGGATGAAAACTCCACATTGAAGGCAATTGATTTTGGACTGTCTGACTACGTGAAGCCAGGTTCGGCCTGTTGTATACTCCGTGCATATTCTCTAAATTTTTAGCAGAAAGTACAACAGTCAGGGCTAACATGTAAAATTCTTGCAGATGAGAGGTTGAATGATATTGTAGGGAGTGCATATTATGTAGCTCCTGAAGTTTTGCATAGGTCATATGGGACAGAAGCTGACATGTGGAGCATTGGTGTAATTGCTTATATTCTTTTATGTGGAAGCAGACCCTTTTGGGCTCGGACAGAATCTGGAATATTTCGCGCTGTCCTGAAGACAGATCCAAGTTTTGATGATGCTCCTTGGCCTTCTTTATCAGCTGATGCTATAGATTTCGTGAAGAGGCTGTTGAATAAGGATTATCGTAAAAGATTAACTGCAGCTCAGGCTCTCTGTATGTCTTGCATCTCCTTTCCCATGTGTGGCATAAATGTTATATTAACTTTCTTCTTTTATGGACTTAGGAATAAAATTGCTTATTGCCTTATTTTGTGCTCAGGTCATCCTTGGCTGGCTAATCATCATGATGACTTGAAGATACCTTTCGATATGATAATCCTCAGACTCGTTAGAGCTTACATACCCTCATCTTCTTTACGCAAATCAGCATTAGGGGTATGGATTATCCTTTGGTGTCTGATTATATATCATCATACTATTATTATCTCAGCTAGAAGTTTGCTTAATATTTTCCTATTTATATCTCAATATTGAGTCTGAATATCTCTTTGTAACCTTTAGTATCTTCTATTGAAGCCATGGATATGCGTTGATTATTAAAGCCTTTTCATATTGGCAGGCTCTCGCTAAGACGCTAACAGTATCTCAGCTAGCATATCTAACGGAACAATTTACTCAGTTAGGGCCTAACAAAAGTGGATTTATCTCCATGCACAACTTTAAGACGGTCAGCACGAGTCCAAAATTATTGTATTTTCACCAATGCTTTTCAAGCCATTGACATGTTTGTTAGCAGGCTGTTTCAAGGAGCTCCACTGAGGCCACAAAGGATTCCCGGGTCTTAGATTACGTGAACATGGTAAGCATGTGAGAGATCATACCTACTTGGTGCATTTTCTTGCGACCTTGCTTGCTTCCCTGGAGTATAAATTCATCACAATGCGTGTTGCAGGTTAGTTCTATCCAATATAGGAAATTAGATTTTGAGGAATTCTGTGCTGCTGCTATAAGTGTGCACCAACTAGAGGGAATGGAGACCTGGGAGCAGCATGCAAGGCGTGCCTATGAGCTGTTTGAAAAGGATGGAAATCGGCCAATTATGATTGAAGAACTTGCCTCGGTAATCATTTTATGCACATACCTATTTGACTATAGCTTGCCAATGAATACGTACATATTTATCCGAACCATCTGAACCAGTTAATGTGAACTCACTGAACTTCTTTTAGATTTAGTGTCCTCGACTCCTTACATTCTCTGTCACCGAGCTTTTGGAGTTTCATGTATTATTCCAGGAACTTGGGCTTAGCCCGTCAGTACCTGTTCATGTGGTCCTACAAGATTGGATAAGACATTCCGATGGGAAGCTTAGTTTCTTAGGATTTGTCAGACTTTTGCACGGAGCTTCTCCCCGCACAATTCACAAGGCGTAAGAGTACACCTGGTTGCAATTATATGGATCACTTAAACTTCATCAGCAATGGTCAATCTCCATTGCAATGATGGTTTGAGTAAGCTAAAGGCTACAGTCGACGAAGCTATTTTCAGCATCTCCTATTGTTGAGCTCACTGTTCCTAATTTTTGTATGCACGAGAATCCTTCACCTCGTTCCCTACTCTCTTTATGGTTGGTTAGTGCTCAACGTCAGAGGATTGTACAGAGGAATGTAGATCACATATTGTACTTGGTACTAGAGGAACTGCTCAAAACTGAGTTGTGTTTTCAGGTTCATCACTTGTGTACCCATTCCACTTACCAATAAAATCTTTCCAATTCTAACAACTCTAACAACTCCGTGATACTTGACAGTATTTTTGCCTTTTCTTTATCCTTTTTACATATTTTCAGGTACAACGGTTCATAGTTAAGTCAAATGATGCAATGGATCATAAAAATTTTAATTATCAGCAAGTGATAGAGCTGGCACGTGGTTGTATTTAAATGTATTAATTAAGCCGGTTTAAATATAAATGGTCAAAATTCAGATAATCAGCAATCAAGTGTAAAGTGATCACTTCAATTATAGCACGGTTGTTGACGTTATCATTGTGCACAGGGCACCACTTCATTCAAAACCTTTTTCAATTATTGCTTATTAGTGTATATATACTCTCCATATCTAGACGTCAGAAAGTAAATTTTAACTAACTTGTACAGTTTAATTATGTTTGAAATTTTTAAAATTAGACTAAAACATCTTTGTAATTAACTACTTATTCTTTACTTTTTTATTAATTTAATTTAATGATATAATCCGATTATAAGGGTAGTTTAAAAAATAATAAAATATGTGACAATTTCTCTTATAATAAAGAAGAGTAGTTCCATAAAATGAACATGAATGTATAAAAATTCTCTGCCCTTTTCTTTTAATCTTTTGCGTGGTCATCTATAATTATTTTTTTTATTAAAGTTAATTTCATTTGAAGTATTATTGAGCACCAAATGTAGACATCATTTTTAAGAACAATTTATATTTAAATTTTATGGGTGACTAGTTTCTTCCCTTCCACTGCATAAATTTTGTGAATTTGTTCGCTTTGCCACGTGCGCCCAAACCAAACATTGGATCATAAATTGGTTCTGCCAGCATCTTACAGTTCGGTCTTGAGATGGCTTAAACATTGGATCATAAATTGGTTCTGCCAGCATCTTACGGTTCGGTCTTGAGATGGCTTCTCATTGCTCATGGATTGTCTAAGTAATAATCAAATGTCTGAATAGAACATATTTAAATTTGATGGTATATGTTTAAAATATATTATTAAAATTTACTCCCAATTGAGTGAATTCTGGCAAAAAAAAAAAAAACTTGATTGATATTTTCCAAAAAAGCCAACAGAGCGGAGGCATAGTTGTCAGGTTTAAAAAAAAAAAAAAAAAGCAAAAGGTACAGTTCGGTCAGGACACCGAGGGAAATAGACCAGAAGGAACGAGATCTGTTGATAACCTGAAAGTGTCATTTGACGACACGTAAAGCATGGGTCCATGTTCTTGGTGCTGATCTGGATGGTGTACTTAATCCCTCGCGGCACGCCAAATCGTTTCCTCCTTTTACCGCTTGGAATGGCAATTCACGTCACTCCAAATGCTAAACCAAAATCCAGATCTCCAATTCTGCTGCTTGCCCTGGCAATCACTGCAATCGCGCTATTGTTCCTGTTTCGCTCTCTGGTTTCCACAACCGGATCCTCACTCCTCATCTCAACATCCCTTCAAAACGAGGTGAAACAGAGGCGCCATGAAAGGTACTTGTACTGGGGCACTAGAATTGACTGCCCTGGAAAACACTGCGACACTTGTGCAGGTTTGGGTCATCAGGAGTCCAGCCTCAGGTGTGCCCTTGAAGAGGCCATGTATCTTCAGAGGTGAGCATCGATGCCTTTGTGTTCTTCTCATTGGGTTCTTGTACAGGTCTTCTTATGTCTTCTGTTGCTTAACCTTTCCTTCCTTTTTCCTGAAGTAAAACTACCTAATGCATACTAACGACAATGGTGAATTCAGATAAGAAAGGATGTAACTTCCCTAAATTAATGATCTCTGGCTGTTGAACTGACAGAGACTCGCAATGCAAGTCTGGGCGTGTAAAAGGAGATAGTCCCAAACCTTAATCTTCTTATGAAAGAAAACTCTCTCCGCACACGCGCACACACTTCATGGCCCTGTCCACATAAGATCATTTCTTGAGTTCGTAATACACTTCTGGTTCACTTGTTTGTTCTCTATCTTGATATGGTCGTTGAATGGAGTGTCTTTAGTTTTCAAAACCTAAACTTTCCAATCTGCTGCGGCTTTCACCAGCTAAACTTGCTGTGTATTCTGTTCTGGTTGAATATATATATATATATATAGAGAGAGAGAGAGAGGTTTCTCACCTATTTCGACCACACTTGCTGCAGAACTTTTGTCATGCCATCAAGGATGTGTATTAATCCAATGCATAATAAGAACGGGATCCTTCATCTGTCCAATACCTCCAGTTCAGGGGCAAGGTGAGTTGCTTTGAAGCTTTCTTGTCTGCTGGTTAAGTGGTTATAGAAAGAGAACAGTAGAAGCTGTTCTTTTCTGCTTTAGATTATAATTTGATTCAAATGAACAATAGCCTTTTCTAAGTATATGTATACCTTTGTTTGCCTCTAGCATATGCTTTTTCATAGTTTAAAACGGAAAATTGTTAGATCATTTAACTTGACTAGCTGTATTTTATATTGTAGTTGGGCAGCAAGTTCTTGTCCCATGGACACTTTATATGACATGGACCTCATATCTGAGACTGTTCCTGTTATTTTGGACAATTCAAAAGAGTGGTATCGGGTTCTATTAACAAGCATGAAGTTGGGAGCACAAGGGGTTGGTCATGTGGAAGGAGTTAGGCGCATTGATCTTAAAGAAAATAATAAATTCTTCAATCTCTTGCTCATAAACAGGACTGCAAGCCCTCTTTCCTGGTAAATCGTCCAACCATATCTCTTCATTTTCCTCTATATTTCCTTTACTTAATCATCCTGGCTTCTTAGAATCAGATTCATGAATGAGAGACTGCAGCTTCTTAAATGACTATATCATGAATCAAGGTTGACTTCCAGGAAGGAGAGTAGGGAATTATTTGGATGTAATATGAATCAGAATTGTCTTTCATCTAATATATGTGGGAACACAGCATTTGAATGTTAACTGGGGAAAGTTAGGATTTGAAAATTTTCATTTCTATACGGTGTAATTATATGTGATACTTGGTGAACACATACTTGATCTTGATCCTTGTTAGTAGATGGGAGTTTTTTAGGTATCAAGTGTTCAATAATCTCATTATAATGGCCTAATGAAGCTTTTTGAAAATTCTTTCCTACTTCAGTATTTTGAGCTTTCAGTCATATTGCCACTTGTATTAACCTACATTTTCTTGTTAAAGGAGTTCATTTGAAATTTTACATTTTTCCCCTTTTCTTTTTGTCTGAGTCGCTAGTGATGATCTTCCAGGTTTATGGAATGCAAGGAGCGTAACAAACGAAGTTCTGTAATGTTGCCATATTCATTTTTGCCCTCAATGGCAGCAAGGAAGCTTAGAGATGCAGCTGAAAAGGTCCATCTGATATGTATACTCTTTAAGTTTTCCCATTTAATTTGGTGATTTTCCCATGTAGTATTTCAAATTTGCATGGAAAATAGATTTCAACTTTGTTGCTTGGAGATTGCAATGATTAAGAATTTATTGTGTGGATATTTTAGCTCTTTCATTATTGGAGTTGGAGATGTTGATTTGTCAAAAACAAAAATTATGTCATCGGTAGTTGCAGGCACATGAAAATTTCTAATCTCTGCGCTTGATAGCTTATTAGAATAAAAAGGAGTATACAACCAAACCTTGAAACTTGCAAGCCTATTCATGGCATGTTCACCACATAATACTAGTAATTTAATTTTTTTTTTAGCACATATGGTGTTTTGCGGATTCGTTCAAGCAAGTCAATTGAGTTGATCCCATTATACTATGGAAAATGAAAAGGAAGAATGAGGGGTGTAGGGTAGGTTCCTACTGCTGAAAGCCAACTGATTGTTGAGCTTTAGAGAGCATGTATCCTGGACCTGAATTCAGGTAAATATGTCACTATGCCCTCATTGAGTCATTGGTAGTTGTTCAATTAAAATCGGTTGTGGCATTTTATCAAAATTAGAACTGATTGTGACCATGACTGCACTGAGTTTGGATTTAATAAGGGGCAAATTCAGTAAAAGATGGTAAGAGTTCATCCCATTTGTCGATTTGTAACTCACATGGATTGATGAAATGGTGTGTTTTGGTTTGTACAATTTGGAGTGTCTGTTTAATTGCAAACAGATTGCTGGAATGTATTTTTTATTCCTCTCGTGATATTTGTCTCTTGCTAAATCCAAGTCTTGACTACGCTAGCAAAATGATCTCTTTCCCTTTTGATATGATTTTTCATTCCAAGTTCCTTTGTTGTCTTCCTTTCTGAAGGTTGGTGGGGGTAGGGAGGGGAGAGGAAAAAAGTTGATGATGATATGCAAAAAAGCCTAAACATCACATGTTGGGGAAAATGATGAGTAGGAGTTGGAGGATATTTCCTTGATTCTAAAATGATTTTACTGAAGATATTAATGTTTTAGTCAAATATTTGAGTTTTAGTAATTGAATGTGGCTTAAAAATAACTACTTCTGTCAAGAGTCTGTGAGCATGTACTTCTGTTTCATTAGTATGCTCCTCGATGGTACCATAGTAAATTTACATTATTTAGCTATTAAATGTGTAGTTGGATGTTTTGACATCCTGCTTTGTGGAAAAATCACCTGTGAGTTGTGTAGTTCACTGTTTCTTGCGGTGATAGTGGTGTAAAATCACTTTCTTGACAATGGTAGTTCAGAACTGAATCAATGAAAATTTTAGGTTATCAGTAGATGAGGCTTTGCATGCTTTACTTTGCCAAAAATTATAGTAATTCTGATACTTATATGCTGGATATATCAAATGCCTGGGCTTTGATGCCTCTTTATCATTAATTGGTATCTAAACACATACTTGTTCACAGATCAAAGCAGACCTTGGAGATTATGATGCCATCCATGTTCGTCGTGGTGATAAATTAAAGACGAGGAAGGACAGATTTGGGGTTGAGAGGAGCTTGAGTCCTCACCTTGATAGGGATACACGGCCTGAGTTTATTCTCTGCAGAATTGCAAAATGGGTCCCTGCAGGAAGAATCTTGTTTATTGCTTCGAATGAGAGGACTCCTGGATTTTTTTCACCACTTTCTGTCAGGTAGTCATTCTCATTTTCATACGGGGTTCTGAAAAGTAGAAATTTTGGAAGCTATCTTGTATATGAAATTAGGTTTCATCACCACCTTCTGATCGAATTTAAAGCCAATTTTATTCTGAATCTGGCTATACTTAATTTGTATTACTTAATGAAATTAAGGGAGCAGAATAAAGTATAACATGGTAATTTTGTTTCTCATAATTGGTTCTTTTGCGTCTGTGGTCCTATTTGAAAAGCTGCTCAACATATTTGAGGTTGGCTGTACGTATCATCCCAGTAGTTTATAGTAGTTTGAATTTGTGTTTATTTAAACGAAGCAACAGTTTTTGGAGAGAAACTTTTGTCTTAATGGCTGAAATAAAATGAATTGCCATTTTTGAATTTCTTTTACCAAAGCCTGATAGTTTTATCTTGATGGTGACTCAATTTTGCAGGTATAAATTGGCATATTCATCAAACTATAGCCACATGCTGGCTCCCCTGATCGAGAACAATTACCAGCTATTCATGATCGAGAGGCTTGTCCTGATGGGTGCTAAAACGTTCATAAAAACTTACAAGGAATACGAGACAGATCTAAGCCTTACTGATGACCCGAAAAAGAACACTAAAAACTGGCAGATACCTGTTTACACCAAGGATGAAAGTACATGCTAACGCTAACCCTCACATGATACTGAAATTTCTTTGTAATTAAAATTTCAGGCAGAAATTCTGGGTGTTGCGAATTATAGGCTGATAAGTTAAAATTGTAAATTTTCACAAGTCGGCAAAATTACATTTATTCGTTATTCGTATGTTCAACAAAAAAAAAAAAAGGTATCACAGTGCGGCACTGTCTTTTTCATTTAAGCTGTAGGCTTGTCTTCTAGTGAAGTCTTGATCAGTAGGGTAACAACTCATTCGTTATTCGCAACTACTGTGATGGTGGAGAGTCCACTGCTTATTTTAATGGAGTACACTTGTCTGCTTGTTCAATTCTTGATCAGTAAGGCAACAACATCCGTTTTCCATTTGCGAGTGATCAAATCTATATCCCGCAAAAAATGACGCCATGTAAAAAGCATATAGCAAAAACTAGTGGCTGTCAATTGCAGTTTCCAACTCCCAAAAAAGCTTCAGACTCGCTTTTCTCTGTCAAGGCGTTACCTTGCGCATTTTCAGGCAGACGCAACGGTTCTCTCACTTCTATGAGACAACAATACAATTAAGTGGTTATAGTGTGATGATAATGGAGATTTGACATATTATGGGACTGGCATCGCTCACTTGGAAAGTAAATGGAAAAAGCTGTCAGATGTTCCTTCATTGTTCGACTCGGTTCAGCCAAGTGGAACCCACGTTCCCATATCAACGCGAGTATTCTATTTTTCCGAATCAAATTCCTTCTTTTCCTTTATGTACGCCTCCACTGCTATTATTCCCTGAATACGTTCCGGTAAACTGTAATTGAATACTTGTATCATAGTCGTGTAGTCCCTGAAAATGTTCAAGTAAAACTATCTGGGTTTGGGTTGTGATAAAATAATTCGCAAGGATTTACATTTTCGGATAAATGAAACCTTCAGTTCAGCTCTCTGTGCTCTTCATCTTCACAACATAAACCTTAGTACTCTGTTTAATTACAGATAAAACCTTATCAATCTAGTGATGATATCAGGAAAAGAATGTTAGCACTATCCGATATATATAGTTATACTGTTATATCAATATGTTTGCATACGCAAAGCAGACAACCCCCCCCCCCCACCCCCGGGGGGCGCCGCCGCGGGGGGGCCACAAACGGGACAATGAGAGGAGAGTGGCTTGGATTTCCAAGCGTCTTGAGATATCAAAGGCCAAATCTAATTAATATTGGACACTCACCTCCGTCATCATTGGAGGCATAATATCATTATCAGTTCTGGAGAAATACTTAAATAAATTAAATATATTATATCATTTATAACATGTTCAATAAAAATATAATATTTAAATAATATTAAATATCAATTCATTCTGATATTAATCATAGTTGAAAAAGAAACTACAAGAAATCAAATGCTCCCTTCATTAAAAAATATAAGACATTTTTAATTGAATTTCACTACTAATAAAATAGTTATCTACTTTTAAACTAATTCTATCTTTTCATATTTATCCATATTAAACGCCCTACAATAATATAAAATCATTCATCAATAGGAGCACTTTTGAAAAAAAAAAAGATAATCATTACACTTTAAAAAACTAAAAATGTCTTATATTTTTTAACATCTAACTCCTCAAAAAAATGCCTTACATTTTTGAATCGATGAAGTATATATTCTGTTATAAAAATAAAATCAATTAAAAACATGTCATACAAGATTTTATTTAGATTATTTAAAATATTTTAATTGGATGAATTATAAATGATGTGGTGCACCCAATCTATCTAAATATTTCTCATCAATTCTGTCATCTATGTGATGCTGATTGCTTGATTAGGAAAGAAGGCAACAAGCAGGTGTGTAGGCCCCGAATGGGTGCACCAATTGCATTATAATGAAGAATGATAACACATTACTGCATGATGTGTCTAACACACCTCTTAACTGAATTAGAGGTAGAGTCAATAATTTGGATCAAACTCAATAGACTAGCCTGAGTTCGTTGAAAAATTTGAGCTAAGTCTAAAAAAATATTATTTTTTAATGTCCTTGAATAGGCTCAAAAAAATTTGGGCAAATCAAGTTTGAGCTTGCTCCAAATACCCAAATAAAAAAATAATTTTTTAAAAAATATATAAAATATAATAAATATTAATTAATTTTTGAGTTTTATGTTATTTTATACTAAAACAATATAAACTTGAACGCATTACTATAGTTATTTTTTAAAAAAATTAAAAATATTTATATTTTCATTATCTTTAATTAATAAAATATCTCAAAATAATATTTAAAATATATTTTAATATTATTTTTTTGTTTTAAGATCCAATTTTTCTTTAAAAAAATTTGAGTCCTATATAGGATTTACAAATCTAAAAATAAAATAAGATAATTAATTTTAAAGTAAAAATAATTTAAAAAATAAAATTTGGGCATATATGAATTTCCAACTCTACTACTAGATAAGCATAGTAAATAGAACAATATTGTTAGATAATTATTTGATTATCATCCACATAAAATTTAATTAAAAATTAAGAATAAATTAGAGTAAAAATTCCTTACATGTAAGGATTAAACAAAATAAAAAGTTAGAGAAAAAGAATTTAAAAAATAGTATTTTACTCATGATTAAATAATTTTATTTTATATAATATATGATGGTTATTTTTCTCATATTCTTAAAAAAGTATAATTTATCTAAAAGTTATTAAAAATTTTGAACTAACTGAGGCAATAATTTTAAATTAGTAGTCTAACCATAATTGAATTAAGATCAACTTGATTGTAATTAAAATAATATAATTTAATTAAAATATATAAAATATTTATATATGATCATGATAAGAGCAATATTTAAATAACTAAGATATTAATTTACAAGTAAAGAAAACATTCATGAATAAATTATACACAGTCTAACAAAATAGTAACAGAGCTAATTAAGTACTAAGTTGATAAGTTATTATTTTTATTTTATTCTTTTAAAGTTAAAATAATATTTTATACTTAATAGGATTATTTGAAAATTAAAATTAGTCTAAAAAAATAAAAAATATTTTTAAAAAATTTTAAACATTCTGACTGATTCGAATAAGCTCGAAACTTGAAGATGTAGGGTTAAATTTAACTATATAAATTTTTTTAAAAAATATAATATTTTAAATTTGATTTAAATAAATACAACACTAATTAAATTCGAAACAAATAAATTTAATTTGTCTGAATTATTAACTTTAATTGGAAGAGATGGTTAGAATGGGGGGGTGCCGATTGACATGGGGAGCCCACATGTGATGATGTCATAGGGTGCCTCTCCCCACGATGAACTGTCACTCACAGCTTCGCTTGCAACGTGGACGACCACAACCACCACGATGATATCTTGCTGTGACTAGTCCTTCTATCTTTCTCTCTACTTCAAATTCCTCACCAAATCTCCAAATCCTGATGGATATGCTTGTTGCTTTTAGCAAATCGCTTCAAATCCGTCCGCCTCTCAGTCCTCTCCTTCCTTACGTTCAGTAACTGAAGATGACCATCGTCCTCTGAAAATCAATATCAATGTAACAATAATCCAATATCATCATTAACAGCACTGCATACCTAGCTATCACCCCCAATTATTTTTTAGCATTTCATAGCATAAATTTTGACTTTATACCCCAGGATGGAAAGACGTTGAGACTGGAGCCATGACCAATTCAGATTTTAATTCTTTCTTTGTATTGTGTAGGTATTTATATATGTATTTTTTAATCTTGATTTCGCACTCTTAAATTTTGGATCCGCGCTTGTTTATATTCAAAACCTGTTTTTTGGCAACCTTTTTTATAAGGTCCCAAATACAGACTGATTAAATGCCATTGCAAAGCCCAAAACCTAAAAGAAAAAGGAAGGATGTGACTGAAGCCCGAATCGGACTCACTCAATTAAGCTCACCAAGGGACTCGATCTTTCCACGTAGCACAGGATTTGAATTTGGAATTACCAAAAAGTGCATTAATGGGCCCACATCCCGACTTAAAAGGACCTCGCCTGAAATATTGACACGTGGGAAGCCCCCAGGTCAAACAAAAATCCCAACCCCGTAGGCGAGAGCGGCACGTGCCAACGCTGCCTGTTGCAGTTTCTTGTACGTGCGTAGCGCTATTTAAACGCCAGGCAGGCTCTGACGATTGCCTTAGCAGTGCAACGAGACTGAAAGATCTATCATATCGCACCCCAGATTTTTTCGATTCTTCAGGTAATAGAACGAATATCTAATTTATTGTTTGATTCCTCGATTGTAATTTTATGGTATTTAATCCTGGATTATGATTTTGTTCTCTCATTTTCTGGGATGGTGTATTTCCACTGTATTTCTCTGGTATTGAACCGGTTTTGGTTGGCGATATTTTAAAAAAATAAAAAATAAAAAGAGCTAGAGGGTATTGTTTTTGGGCCATGATTTTATGAGGTGTTATATTGAAAATCGGGTAGCTGCTGAGTGAACTAGATGATTTTTGGGGAGTCGAGCATAGACAAACTTGGGGGGGGGGGGGTGCCCCCCAAAAAAAAAAAAAAACAAAACAAAAGAAAAGTTCTTTATATTGGCGCCAAACTCGATACATTTATATACTGTCATACCTATTTAGTTCATTTTTTTTTAAATTTTTGAGCAATCAGTGTAGGCTAGCATTCTCAGTTTTATGTATATTATCACATTTGACAGGGAAAGAAGGCGGCGGAAAGTTGGAGGAGGAGACGGTGTTTGGATATCTATTGCTTTGTCTGTGGTCATGCCTTACCTTGTCCGAGAGAAATTATTTATTGGTGATATCAGTGACGCTGCGGAGATCCTTCAAAATGGTAGCGATGAAATCACGCATATCTTATCGGTCCTTAGCTCTGCTTCAATATCATTCTTTTCCGAGTGGCGAAGTAGCCTAACGATCCCGGCAAAGGAAATTAAGAAGGTATATGTGGGTGGTGGTCACGGTGGTGCTTCTGATGATGACTTGGGTGATATATCAAGAAGTCCGTTGTCACTGGAAAGCCTTCTGTACTCGTTGGAATATGCAGGTAAGGATCTGAAGTTGGTGAGGATGGCTGTTCCTCTGAGGGATACGGAAAATGAAGATTTATTGGATTACTTGGATGTTTGCGTCAATTTTATTGATCGAAGTAGGAAAGATGGTTCTGTTTTGGTGCACTGCTTTGCTGGAGTATCAAGAAGGTATCATTTGTATTATATAACCAATTTGCTTCATCAGTTAATTGCCTTGATTCTTCCTGCTCAGTGAAAGTAATTAATTGAGAATTTGCTAGAAGTCTAGAGGCATGTGTCAATATTCCTTCTGAGCTTATGCCTGGCATCTCTGGTCCTAGCATTACAGTTTTAATGGTTTAGAATATGATGATGCCATCGAACAGGATGGTGGTAGTGTCAATAACTGATAAACAAGCAAATAAATTGGAGTGGGTTTGATTATATATATATATATATATATTATTTTATTTTTGAGGAGGGGGGTGGGAGATATGAGGTGACGGTGTGAGTGTGATTGGTACACAAATTGGAGCGAATTATAGAATGTTTTATACAAACCTTTAATGACATATGAAAGTGTAATAACATCATCAATAGAATTTTTTTAGTCGTGCATCATTAAGCCATTTACATGAATTTCTCACATGCAGTGATTTGGAACAAAAGATGAGTTTTAAATTAAAGTCAGAGCAAGACTACTTAAGAAAATATGGAGTGCCATCACAAATCCACAATGATCAGAAGAATGACAGCAGTTTGGCTAAGGAAAGAATTAGTTCTGAACTAAAGGGAAATTTGTGGAACTTGTGCCATCTTACTGTTAATATATTGCTGAAGTATCTGGTAATTCATTTAATATATCACAACTTCAGAAGATTTTGAGGTTATGACTGTGAATAAGAGTTATAGATATATAATAATTCTAGCAAATTCTGGTGCTTAACGTCTGATAATTTTTTACTTGCCTCCTAACTATCTTCTGTCTCCCATTATAAAAATAAATAAACAAATAAAAGGGAGGAGAAATCATTTTTAAAATTTTATTCTGATGTAATACTCTATTTAACTCCTATCACAGTAACTTAGATATATTATTAGGTCTTTTTCTATGACCCTTTAATAGTGCTATAGTACATACAAACTGGGCTTTTACAGTTTGTTTTTTATGTCTCTTTACTTATTAATTTCAGAAATGGTGTGAAGAGCTTAAATTGTAACTGCTTTTCCACTTTTGTCAATTGTCTAGTCTTAAGGGTTTACATCCTTCTTTGCGTGTGTTCATACAGTGCAGCAATCATTACAGCATATCTGATGAGATCTGAACATCTATCTCAAGAAGGTGTGAACCGCTACATTGTATAAAGTCTTCAGGGATTACATGTTGGTACATGCAAGTAGCTTCCTATTTCAATACACCTAATTATAGTAGCAGATATTGTTAACAACAAAATCGACCTGTGTCTTTACCCTGCTAAAGAACAGTTCAAGGAACTGGTAACTGAACCAGCTGATTCTCACAATAAACATTACCCCATTCCAAATGGAAAAGGATGGGAAAAAATGTATTGGCTATTCCGCCTTATTATTATTAGTTCAATTGTCAATTAGAGCATTCTTTACCACACCCTAGTGTTCTTCCCGTCTTTTTTGAACTGAATGTATTTAAGTATGTGTCTCTTAGATTTAATTGTCATTTTTTCCTTATCTTCTATAATTATTTTCCTGTGCCTGCAGATGCCCTTCAATCATTAAGGAAGAGCTGTGAATTCGTTTGCCCCAATGACGGTTTTCTAGAGCAGGTGTACAATGAAACTTCACAACATATGGTTCATTCATTTTTTTTTTTAATCTCATACCAATCAGAATTATGACATCATTTTAATTTTTTTTTTAAACTTCAGTTAAAAATGTATGAGGAGATGGGCTTTAAGGTGGATCGCTCTAGCTCTATATACAGGCGCTTTCGTTTGAGAGTATTGGGTATGGCTTCGACTCTGTCTGCTCTGCTGTTTTGGTATCTCTTATCTTCCTTGTAAGTTTTAATGGTAGCATGACATGTAATAGATAGGCTTTGTTCCTCATTGTTAAAAATATCTAAAGTTCACCTATCAAATAAAATAGAAGGCCAAGGGATAGATTAATGTAGAAGACAAACTTAAAAGTCATGATTGTTCAAATCTCCTAATAGAGTGCTACTTGAGAGACACTATTTATATTTCGTTACCACTTATTGATATTGATCTTTTTATTTTTGGTGGAGAGAGGTATTAATCTTTTCAAATGCTTGAAAAAGCAGTTTTGTTTGCTTATCCTCTCCCCATAATACCTAGTCCAAAGGCCATATGTTGTATTTAGAATTTTCTTTTTTCAAAAAATAGAATTAGAATTAGAATTAGAAATAAAAGAATTAAAGAAGGTAGTAAATAAGGCAACAACCACCAAGCCTATGCAACCAAGCTTGAGTGTAGGTCAAGGGTAGACGGTAGTGTTGCTCCCTGTAGCAAAATCTATTGTATGATTACCTAAGACACGGCATTCAACAGTGAAAGATTAATTATGATTCACGCTCACCTGTGCCTCCAATCTTAAATCAAGAGATTTTTTGGCTACAACTACTTTTTATCTTTCTCTTTACTTGGATGAGGGAGAGGGGAGTTGAGGTCTAAAATGATTTATGATAAAGTGCCTTGTTCACATTTTCCTAATCTCTATCATTAATTTTTTTATTCCCTTGAGTGTTCATGTCATCATACGTAGGTGACAGATGGCTCTTCTTTTCATTATTATATGTTAATATTGACTGTTTTCTGAGTAGTGATTGTTCTGATTGTTTCGGTTTTATGCATGCTTTGGTATTCATATCATGAATCTTTTGGTCTGTTTCAGTCTTTAAAATTTAATAAGGTCACTCCTTGTTTGTGTCATCTGAGGGTTTTTTTTTTTTTTTTTTTAATCTCATCCTTTCAGGTCAGAATTATAACTCGGGTGTGAGAGTAGACGGTTCTAAACTTGGAGCTGATCCTGGCATACCTGTCAGTGTTTCTTCAGAGGTAGGAGCTCCAAGAGCAGAAAATAATTGTAGTCCTACATATCGCTGCAGGAAGTGCCGACGTGTAGTTGCATTGAAGGACCATGTTGTAGACCATGTTCCAGGTGAAGGGGAGACATCCAGCGAGTGGCATAAGTGGAGAAGTGACAGCCTCTATAACAAATGTAATGAATCTGAGTGTTCTTCTATATTTATTGAGCCACTACAGTGGATGAAAGCAGGTGAACAATCACTCAACCACTCCCCCCCACCCCAACCCCCACCCCCACCCCCAACCAAAAGGAAAAGGTCATGACGGTGAGGTAGCAAACTAGTAGAAATATATTCACATGCTTATGATGCTTACAAAATCGTACCTTTTTTTCCCGCTAAAATTTTGAAGCTTGCTCTGAATGTTATATGGATGGGTTCACTCTAGTGTTTCTTTTGAGTTCTCATCAATTCTCAGATTTTTTTCCTTAAATAAGAAAACCCCCAAATTTTAAAATTTAAGGTACCTTTGGTCATTTACAATATGTAGATGTATTCAGCAAAAAAATTCTAAAGTTTTGTTTCACTGATATATTTCTTAATTCAGTTGAGGAAGGTGCATCGGAGGGGAAGTTGAGCTGTGCCCACTGTGACGCTCGCTTGGGAAACTTCAATTGGTTTGGCATACAATGCAGCTGTGGAAGCTGGATAACCCCTGCCTTTCAGATCCACAAGTGCCGAGTGGATAGAAGCCCTGTCTAACTTTACACTTTATGCCCACCAACTTTACGCAGCTTCATGCGTGTCCTCATTGGGAGACCATCGACACATCTTGTCAGAAAACGTATATTCTGCTCAAGTTTCCCAAGCCAATGGAATTGAAAGCGATTGAACCCTTCTTGAACTGTTTGCTTTACGGAACGACTTTGTAGTCAATAGAAGCTCTCCTTGAAAGGTTTCGAATATTTCTAGTAAATACAGCACCATGAGTTGGGTTTTTTCCCTTTATGTGGGCTTGATTGCTTGATGGGTTGTAATTAATGCATGAAGGGATTTGTTTATGCCCCTTGTTTTCGGTTGGTATCTTTATGAATATGATTGCTTCGAGGGTGAAGAATAAGATACCTGATACTTGAATTTATTAGGAGCTTCTGGGATTATTTGTGGAATAGTTTTGAGCCATCTATGATCTAAAGATTGGTAAATTCCTGCCTTATTTAGTCTTTGCCAGTTGTATATATTTATAGCCGCGGAAATGCCAGGCTGATTGTTTCTCCAGAAAATGGGTTTCAAGCGTAGTAAATAACTACGAGTTTATTCTATACGAACGATGAAATGACTCGTGCCCAGAAACAACTGGGGATCATTGCAATTTTTATGTTCTTGTGATATTTATAATTTATTCACATAGTAATAATTGAATTTAGATGTTAACAATTCATAACAAGATGTTGTTTATAAGTTAATTACACTGCTCACTTTTTATATTATATGAGAAGACATTTCTAGTTAAATGGTAAGAACTGAGAATACATGTGGTCTCTAGTTGTCAAACAATAAAATGGAATGCTTTCTAATTTTTTTTAAGTTACATTCATAACTAATATAATTTAAATAATTTCTTATTAAAAAAAGACATAATCATAATTATAGCACATGCAATTCATTATTCTTCAGATTCCTTATTTGTTACGCAAAATTTTCGAATGTTCTAAAACAAGAAGGAGCAAGCCCTTTTGCAAATCTATGACATTAAAAAGATCTAAATAAAGATTTATCTCAAACTAACCGTCATATCCTTCGGCATTTATACCTCCCAGACGAAAATTCGAGAGAAGTAGAATCAATAAATGTGATTATCATATTGAGGAACGAGGAGCACCTTCCTCTCCTCCTAGGGTAACAAACTTTTTTTCTCTTTAAAGATGTGAGGGAATAAACTGGGAATATCGCAATAGACTTGACGCAGACCGCACGAGATGCCTTTTTCGTAGCCTAGTAGAGTAAAGCATGAATGTGCCAGAACAATCTGCATATAACAACCTATCAGGCTGTCACTACGGCTATCCGATTCACATGTAAAATGATGGACATGTTTTTCTTATGGTATAAGTAATTTGTACAGGTTCCTAATTCTCATCCATCCGACATTCCTAAACAGGAGACATGGAAAGAAAAGGAGGAACCCCGGTTGAGGATGGCATCAAAAAATGTCTGAAGTTACCATAACCATGACCATCCTCACATCAGAATCATCGAGCCTCCAGGACTTCATGATGTGGCTTCCATATGTCAAAATGAAAACAATTAGGCTTTCATTTATGCAATGACTCTATTGGTGGGATTGTGCCTCCAGCAGAATGTTTGTGGCCACATTAACATCGTTCCTGGCCTGCACTAGTGCCTGTCTAGCAGAATCCCTATCAAAGCCCATAGAGGTAAGTGTAGAGATAGAGTCCTCGGATGGTTCTGGGACAGATTGCGCAGGAGCAGGGTAGTTCCTCTGCAACAAACAGAAAGTTCTCAAGTAAGCCAACATAATTCTAATTGTCAGCTACTCAGACTCAAATAGATTCCATATAATTCATCCTAAAGATGGGCCAATAAATGTTCAACTAACTACAAATAGTCATAAATTACTGCGTCTAATTTTATGGCTACCCTTCTCAACAATGCATGACTAAAACTAAAATACAATTTTTTACAAGATGGAAATGTTGATTAAATAATCTGTGCACAGCTCCAAAATGTTCGGTAGCAAACCAATGGCAGGTAACAGCCTTCCAAGCTTTCAGGGATACTCCAAAATGCTCAATGGCACTTACGCCAAATCACCCACTTCATAACCTCAAAAGAAATAAAGCTAGATTTCTTTTTCCCCCCTTCCCTAACTTGTTTTCAGCCAAAACAAAAGAATCAGATTTACAAGCTAACAAGTGAGTCTACAGATTTCCTGCTTCTATCAGCTATTTCTCAAACAATAAAATGAAATATAGAAAATTTTACTGAACCCATTGTGATAATTGCAGTCTGAATTAAAGATTCAAGAGAAACAGCATACTCATAATGATAAATTTTATGGCAAAAAACTGCATAATTTTTTTTTTTTTGTAGGTGTTGTCAGGGAGACCACTAGGGATATTTAGCAGCATCAAGCATAAAATAGCCAAAATTGTTAATATTACTATCCCATAAAAACTGATTGAGTTATTGATATCATGATTATAATGCAACCAAAATAGTGAAACAGTTGTGAGCACAGAATAAAAAAAAATAACCTCCATCTGGCGAGCTGGATAGGATGGCATATTTCCCACTACGTTCCTTGTTGATGCTGAACGTGGACTCCCCATGGATGGCAAAGAAGTCCTTGAAAAGAAGGAGGCAATAAACGCTGGGAACTGTAATGCAGAATGTCAGAACACAATCATGTATTAATTACAATTTACAATTACTAGCAAGTGATCAAATCAAATAATTGCATATTAAAACAATCTATATTTACAGTCTTTGAATATCATTATTCTCTCTCTCTGGAACTGATTTGAACATCATCATAAACGCAGGCATGCAGCGCCACAAGATTTTGATCCCTTTTAAAAAAACCCTCAATCTTCAGACTAAAAATTACCTTTGCTCTGCGTATGTAGAAGACATTTAAACGGTACAAGGAACCAGCAAGGATGCCACACATCCCTGGTAAAAGAGACCTTTTCCACGATGATAAAAGAAGCTGCAATAAAATTAACTAGCTTTAGCAGCTGACTGTTCATGAAATATACAGCTATTGTTTATAAAAACACAGACAATAACATATAATTCACCTGTAACTTACCTGTAGACCAGCTAGATATATGAATGATTTATCAGAGAAGTGGAAACCAGCTACATGAAACCTGTGTTGAAACTGGAATGTCAAAGAAAAAGGGCACAAATGAAGCAAATATAAGACCATAGGGTCCAGAGGTGACTAAGTTTGCCGCAGGATCTGCAGAGAGTGAAAACAATTGGACAATAAGAATTTCAGAAACATAAATTACTTTGCTGCATTGTGCACAGAGCAACATGAATTAATCACATTATAAATCTTTAACTTCAGTCCTATAATATGCAAATTTAAAAGAGTATTTCATAAGATTCAGTGTGAACTGTTCTATCAAATTCTCACATGATAATTTTACTCATCTGGCCCTTGAAAGAACTAGGCATGACATGCCTATATCATTTAGCATGCCACAAGGCAAAACTAAAGCTAAAAAAAAAAAAAACACTAAAGAGATGACCTAGAATTCTTTATTCTTCTACATGGCATAGAAATTTCATTCTAGCCATCAAGATCTGTTGTTTAGATTTTACTAAACAAACCTGCTCAAGGCATCTATACCTCTTTGCAGCCTAATATGAGTTATCCAATATAATTGGACAGCTCAAAGAAAAACCTGGATATTAATGTCTCGAAACACAAACACTCATCTATATCTCTATAGAGGGTACTTGTTCTCAGTTTTCTTAAAACTTCTCTTCCTTAGCTTCCTGTCCCATCCACCAACATTTGAAAAAGTTTTCTTTTTTCTTTTTCCTTTTTTTTTGCTTCCAATCAATCATCCAGTATTTTATTCTTTATTGTCATAATGGAAGTGGCTCTTTCTGTTGGTAAATAATGGACAAATGAATAGGAATAAGATGAGATCATGGAATGGACTGACACGATTCCTTGGATGTATTAATGAATGATCAGATTTAGCTGTAAAGAGATATAGAAGAAAATGACTAGACAGGATCCATTTCCACCCGCTCACACCCTTGAAACTGGAAAGCTAAGTACGCTCATGGAAGATAAGGGTTTGATTCCATGATTATTACGGTTGGACCAAAAACATATGTACTGTTAGGCCTCCAAAACAGTAAGAAAAATATGGATGATCTAGAATCTAAGTGATTGTCAACTGTCATTCTGCTTTTGATATTAGCCACGAGCCAGTGGCTAAGTACAGATGTATCCATGCAGTTTGCAGTTAGACAAACATAATGAAAAGCTGACTCTGGGGTAATTTAGACTTGAGTAGAGTTATGATACATACACTTTCCACTTAATTCTGTACATGATTTAACTCTGGAAGGCCTATGGACATGCTTCAAAGACAAGCAACTCAACAGCCATCTGCTCAAGTAGCATTTCTCACATAATTTCCTTTTCATATAACATATTTTCTGATCTTAGTTTTCACTCCACATTTAAAAAAGAATAATGTTACCCCTGTGTACATCTATATAACTACTTTACCCCACTATTGGCACTCTGCACTCCTAAAAACATAGAACTCAATTTATCAAATTAAGTCTTGGATCTGGTATTCTGTTATCATTCATTTAAAACTCTCAGTTCAAGAGATAGACTTACAACAGAGTACATGCTAGGTAAGCTCAGTGCTTGTTGCATGAGGAAGCAGTTACTATCCTGCCATGCAATAATATAGAGGCCTAAGGGCCAATATATCAAAATCAAAAGGGAAAGCCCTACATCTTGTCATCAGGAAATGCATTGAACAAGTCAGTTTGAATAATGATAGACTTACAAGAATGGCAAGCTATACCTATGTTACTTGTTTATTTGCATCATCCTTAGACATGTCAATATATAGGACCAATAGCAAGCAAAGACAAACTCAAAGCTGAAATAGGAAAAGAAACCAGCCCAACTCCTGCTTAGAACCCCTAAAGGGCATCCATGATCCAACTCAAAGAACCCACCATCAAAGCGGAAAAAATAATAGGTTAATTATAGGAATTATGAATTAAAACATTACATGACAAAAGCTTGACAATATTTAGTCATCAAAATTCAAATAATGCAAGCAATGTGGTTATAACCAACTTATTATCACAGTCATGACCACATGAGGTATTCAGGAACAAATGATAAATTCAATAGGTCATCTTGCACTATGTCAAACATCCTAAAGTTCCATTTACTGATACAGGCCACTGACAGAAACCATGACCAACAACAACTTGTAATGTTGGTGCTGGGAAGGCACCTTATAAAAGAAAGAAGAGGCAAAAACTGTCAAGAAGGAAACTAAGCGCAAGAACATAAGCACCATGCAGGAGCAAAATATGAAGCAAACGCTATCATTAAAACATGCATTAGAAAACAGATTGATCAAACAAGGTTCTGGAGTTGAAAGGCAAGATAAAATATTATATTAAGAATGAATACCTTTTAAGATTGCTACAGAAAGCACCTCAAATAGTAGTGATATTAACATGGAGAATGTGATGAAGACCTGCATTAGGAGTGGAGATATTTCAAAATAATATACAGGGTATAGAAAATAGTGTAATGCCCCTGAAAGAAAAACAAAATAAACTTA